CCCTCCCTCCCTCCTTCTTTCCCTCCTTCCTTCCCTCCCTCCCTCCTTCTTTCCCTCCTTCCTTCCCTCCCTCCCTCCTTCTTCTTTCCCTCCTTCCTTCCCTCCCTCCCTCCTTCCTTCCCTCCCTCCCTCCTTATTTCCCTCCCTTCCTCCTTCCTTCTTTCCTTCCCTCCCTGCCTCTTTCCTTCTTTTTCCTCCTCCTCTTCCTCTTCCTCCTCTGTTTTTGGATTCAATGCTTTATTCTCTGCAAAATTTCTTCACTGAACACAGATTGGTCTGTTTCTTCATCATATTCACTCTTTAAAATGGCTGTTTCTTTCCCCTGAGGGTTTTTGCTCTGAGCTCCAAACTTGGCCCATCTCTCGCCTTCCTTGTCTCTGAACCACCTGCCTCCCCACCTGGTTCATGGAACCGCCTACTGGCTGAATCACATCCCCAGGCTCCTGGGAACTTTGCTATTTTCTCACTTTTTTATAGTCCTTAACTATAAAAAGGCAAATAAAGCACATCCAGCAAGCTAGCAGGCTCTCCTTATCAGTCTCAAAAATCACAGTTTATGCCAATCCTGAGCGGTAACCGCCCTGGTCATGCCCTGGGCCCAGGCCAGGCTTCCCCAGTGGCCCTACTCCACCCAACCAGCTATGCAAAGCCCTCCTCACACGGGCTCCGTGCTGTGTCAGAGAGTGTTACCAGGACGAGGGACCTCTTGGGATAAGCCTCCCCCAAACTCCCAAGGTTGGACATTGTGGCAGCTTCTCCCCCCAATAAGTCAAGGCTACACTGTGACAGTGAGAAACGGACACTTCACTGAAGACCCCAGAGGAGGCAGGCCCCGCTTCCCTGGGTCCTGGGGAGCTGGCTTACTTTAGGGTGCCCCTGTCCAGATAGGAATGTCAGGATGTTGCCAACAGGATGGCAAGGGGTGAAGAGGGCTGGCCGCAGGGTCTGGCAGTCTCGTCTTCATTCCCACTTCTGCCCCTGCCCCTTGGAAGGCCCCTGCAGGAAGGAGAACGGTCACACCGACTGACCAGCCCCAAACAACCTGCCAGCCAGCCTCGGGCTCAGGCTCCATCTGCAGACTGTGCTAGGTCTTCCAGCCTCTCTGGGACCTAGTGGCCTCACCTGCAGAGCAGATCACCCTGAGGACTACACAGCAGATGCCAAGCAGAGGGACAGGCGCCCTGCTCGTGCCCAAACAGCACTGGTCACCCCCACCGCTCCCAAGCTGACCTCTGGGCCCTGGCTCCTAGGTGTGGAGCAGCCCTGATCCCTGGCACCTCACCTTTGGTATCACTGTCTGTTAGGCTCACCTCCCAGCACTTTCAGCTCAGACCCACCCCCGCAAGGGCTGCCCTCCATGTGGGCTCCGGGCTTTCCCAGATGGGCAGATTGAATCTGTATGGGGCAGTGCTGTCTTCCTATAAGTGTAGTTCAAGTGGGGCAGTGTGGCATGCCCTAGAGGGCAGGCTGGGCTGCCTGAGTGCCCAGGGAGCAGAGCCCAGTGAGGGTATAGCTGGAGCGTGCACCATCTGTGGTCCCTCACTTCAGGGGACCCCCAATCTGGAGCAGGGGTGCCCGAGGTATTCCCAACTAATTACCTTTCTGTGCAGCTTGAGCAGGCAAGGTTGGTTTTGTGGCCTCCGTTTTTCTACCTATAAAAAGGGGCAAATGATTCCATTTCTAGCAGTTATTGTCAATCCCAGCAGGTACTGTCAGGGTCGTGGGCAGTGTAAGGATGTGTCTTTTGCAAATTATCAGCTTACTCCCCAAATGCTTGGGCCCTGGACATTTCTCCCACGCAGTCGACCTTGAAGAGGAACTTGGAAGGTAGAGGGTGGAAGGCAGAGGATGACATTCCTGGTGGCCAGGGTACAGCCGGTGCCAGGATCCTCCCACCTCCACCCAACAGTCTTCTAATGTCAAATGGTGTTGCTGGCTTTATCAGGGAGGAAGATAAACCAGCAGGACTGTCTCAGTGAGCAAGGCCAGGGGCAGGAAGAGAAGGGAAAAGTAGCTCAGAAGCGATGGTGGCAGAAGGTGTCACTGGGACCAGGTCCCTGCCTGTGCCTAGGGCTCTGTGGCAGAAGGGGCAGGGGATCCGTGACATGAATGACCCTGTGGGGGGGGACACCCATGGGTGTAGATGGCCACATATGGGCTTAGATAGGAACTCAGGGTCCAGGCAGCCCAGAGGTGGGATAACCTGGCCACCCAGGGCAGTAGGGGGCTGGGGTGACAGCTCCTGGGCAGGATATCTGGCCTAGCAGGGGCCAGGGCTATCAGGCCACCAGGCAGCAGCCCAAGCCTGAGGTCTGGACACAGGACAAGGGCAGGTGGCAGGCTGGGGACTGACTAATTAGGTCTTCAGGCAGCTGGGGCTGAGCCCATGCTCTCTGGCCCACCAACCCATCTGAGGACCTGTCCAGCCTCTGAGTGGGGCTGAGGCCAACTGTGTACACACCAGGCCAGTGACTGGCTGGAACATCAGCTGTTCTGCAGTGCCAGGGGTGGGAGTGAGGCCCTGTGGCAGCCCAGTGGAAGCACCATACAGTCAGCTGCCCGGGACTCTGTGGCATGGAGGGGTGTGGGTGGAAGGTGAGGGTGAGTGGGGGTCTGCCAGGCAGATGTGTGGGAAGAGCATTTTGGCTGGGGTCCAGCAGGGGAAACGTATGTCTGCCAAGGAAGAGGAGAGCAGGTGCCACCAGGTAGCTGGGAGTGTCCTGATGCAGAGAACAGGCCTCCTAGGGCTGCTGAGTCTGTACGCTTCCAGGCATCTTCACAGCAGGCTCTGATGCCCTCCCATGACCCAACACCCAGTGAGGCCTGGCAGCTTCTCTGGGGATCAGATGCCTCTTCCTTCTGCCCCCACTGCTGTGCTCAGAGTCACAGGCCCATGGACCCCCACACAGGGTCTGACACCACCCAGCCCCTCTCTCCATACAACTCAAGTCTCTTCTGAAGCCTGGGCCTTTGTTGCATCACCCTGTCTCTCTGAGCATCGGCATGGGGTCCTGCACTGGCCAGGCCTGTCCCCAGACTAATCCTGGACTGCAGGCCCCCTGGCTGGAGGACTGCTGGGTTAGTCAGCTAAGAATGCCACAACACAATGCCACAGAGCAGGTGGCTCAAACAGCAGCAATTTGCTGTTTCCCAGTTAGCAGTTCACAGAGTCTACAACTGCTGCCAGTCCAAGATCAAGGTCCAAGCCAGCAGGGCGGGTCTCCTCAGGCACTTCCTACGTGTCGGGGTGGCTCCTCTCTTGCTGCCTCTTCCCACGTCCTTCCTCTGTGTACAGCTGGTGTCTCCGTGTGTCCAAATATTCTCTTCTTATAAGGACGTCAGTCAGACTGGACTGGGGCCCAACCTAAGGGCCTCACTTAATCACCTCTAAAGATCTTACCTCCAAATATATGTTCTGAGTTATTGAGGCCAGGGTGTCAACAAGGACATAGGGGACATAGCACAACTCATGATAGTCATCAAGACACCCCAGGACTGGCTGTGGGGCTACAAGTTCACTGAGTGAAGAAGGTGGGACCCTTCTCTGTGGCCATTCCTTCCTACCCCACCCCCCCAGCGGAGTTCCTTGAGGGCCAGAGCAGGCTCTGACTCCTTTCTAGGTCCACCCTCTAGCCAAAGGATTTTGTACATCTAGAGGACAATGAAAAGAATAAACAAAGGGGGGCAGAAAGAGCCTGGCTATGGAGAGACCAAAGGTAGAGGCCTGGGGAGGGATGCCAGGGTCCCTGAGCCCCTGCCCGCATGCCTGCCAACCCTCCTCACACGCAAGTGTGACATCAGCACCTGCCTCCCACTGGTGTGAGTTTCCAAATAAGTTTCATATCCACATTGCCTGAGCCTCAGAGCAGCTGCCATGGGAGGAGAGAGGTAGGGCAGGCCCTGCTTCTGGTCACTCCACTGCATTGGGAAATCAGGTGTGGCTTGCTCAAGGGTGGAGCTAGGACTCTGGCCCCAACCAAGGCTGCAGGTCTATCTTGGGCCCTCGGCTGCAAGGCCTGAATGGGGCCAGGATCCCAAGGAGTGACTCATGCTTGTTCCTGCCCTGCAGACAGTCACAGAGAACTGGCAGGATAAGACCTGTGCATGGAGCTCCAGTGCCAGGCACAGCGGTGAGGCCACGTGGACCTGGCCTGTCCACCTCTTGTCTGCAGCAGTAGGGCCAGGCAGGGAGAGCTGAGGGGAGGGGCAGGGGGTTCTCATGCCAGTCCTGGAGCCAGACCTGAGTGTGAGCCTGGGCTCTGCCACATTGGTGCCCTGTGCTCTTGGCCAGTTACTTAACTTCTGGGAGCCCCAGAGTCTTTGTTGATACCTTTGGGATAGCCGCGCTTGCACTGGTCCCTGTGGGGCTTATGTGAAGGGAACAATGTACTCTGCCGCCAGGGCTGTAGCCAGGCTGCAGGGGGTGGGGGTGGGGGTGGGAGGAGGGTGGTGGTACCTGTAGCTGGGTGTCAGGAGGGCTCCCTGAAGTAGGGATGTTGAGCTGGCAGGGAGATGAGGAAGGACAACCCCGGCCACAGAGACCGTGCCGCTACCAAGGGCTCAGGTCCGCAGCTCAGGTCCCTTGGGCTGCTCAGGAGGGAGTGTTCAGCTGTCCGGGCCACACTCTGCCTAGTGGGTTAAGCTCCAGCGCAGTTCACAGGCCAGCTCCCCAGGCCTCAGGGAAGAAGACCTCCTCCTTCGGGAAGCCCTCCCTGCCTGCCCAGGCTAACCTGCTGACCCTTTCCTCGACACACAGGATCCAAAAGGAGACCGTCGCCCAAGGTCACGCCGCCGTGGACGCCCACCGCCAGGCCTGGCCGCCCGCGCACAACCGCCCGGGCAACATTTCTGTGCCGCAGGGACCCCGCCTGTCATCAACGCCCGCCAGGGAGGCGCTACGGGGCCCACGCCCACAGGAGCGCCGGGCTCCAGCGCTGCGCTGCAGAGGAGGGCAACCTTCCCAGCCCAGCCCCGAGCCACAGCCAGAGCACCAGCCACGTCCTAGTCCCCCTCTCCTCCTCTATTCCCCTACCCAGTTCCCTCTTTTGTTTCACCAGCGCCCCCCAGGTCCCCGCCACCTCTCCTCGGTCCCCTGCCCCATCCTGGCCCCAGACCCGGCGCCCTCCTCTGCCTCCCGGGCCACCCCCCGCCCCCACCTCTGCTCGGCCCCGCCCCCCGGCCCCCCGCGGTCCCTCCCGGCCGGCCGCCCTCGGTTCTGCGTACGGGGTGACGCAGGCCGCCCTCCTCGCCCGCCCCGCGCCGCCGCCCGGCCGACTGCAGGGGCCGCTAACGGTCCCGCGCCCCTCGGCGTCCGCGCGCCCCCCGCCCGGCTGACCAGCCGCGCCGGCGGCCATGGGGGCGAGGAGGGCGGCGGAGCCGCTGCACTCCGTGCTGTGGGTGAAGCAGCAGCGCTGCGTCGTGAGCCTGGAGCCCGCGCGGGCGCTGCTGCGCTGGTGGCGGAGCCCGGGGCCCGGAGCAGGCGCCCCCGGCGCGGGTGAGTGTAGCCGCAGCCCAGGCTCCCGGGTTCGGCTCGGGGTACCGGCGTCCCCCGCTCCGGAGCGCCGCTCAGCCGGGCGCCGGGCGGCGGGGAGGGAGGAGGAGGGCGGTGGGGGCCGGGTTGGAGAGACCCGGGTCAGGGCAGGTGGCAGGGGAGGCCTGGAGTGGGGCCTGGGGGCCTGGGCCGCAGCTGGCAGGAAAATGTCCCATGTAGAGTGTGTATCTGCTCCGGGATCGGGATGACAAAGAGACCAGGAGGCGCTGGAGGGGGAGGGGAAGACCGGTTGACCTGCAGTTGGGGCGGG